ACGGATCAGATCATTTATACCCTTTGCTTAAAGGCATCACATCTGAGTTTGGATTCTTCTACCCGGTCTACTGTGTCGTCCAGTGATTATTTTCTTGCTCTAGCCCGTCTTCTGTGCCCTTTTCTTGCTCTAGTTAGTCCTGTCCATTTTAGTATGGTTATTAGGAATAATATTAATAGTGATTCCATGGTTTAACTTCTTGCAGCTAGAAAACTGTATGGTTGACTAGTTAAGTTAGGCACGTGGGTTTTTTTATCTTGGCTTTTTTTGCTGTCATGGGTTTGAGGTGTGCTTTTATCAGGTCTCTGATCTAATATGGTGTTGTTGGTGCTCTGAAGTTGTTTAAAAAGAACATGTGTAAGTTAGGCTTCTGAGTTTGCTATGCAGGGAAAGAACAGCTTAATTTAGTTTATAAGCAGGCGAGTTAAGTTAATTTTGGATTTGCTATGCTGGAAAGGGAGCAACTTAATCTAGTCTAACTAAGCAGGTGAGGTAATTTGACTAAAATAGGTGCTATGGTGAATTGTGCTAAGAAGAAAATATATTTTTTGTCTGCTATAAAAAATTCATAGTTTTTTTGGTTGTTGTTATGTCAATACATTTGCTATGATAAATTTTGGTCTGGCTTAAATTCTAGTGTTTGTTTTGGAAAGTCCAGGAACCCTAAATCAATATATACATATTAAGGTATGTTGCAAAATATATACTCCCTCCGTTCCGAATTACTTGTCTTAGATTTGTCTAGATACGGAGGTATCTAGCACTAAAATAAGTCTAGATACATCCGTATCTAGACAAATCCAAGACAAGTAATTCGGAACGGAGGGAGTATATGTTTCTATTAGTATTAGTTAACCGTTTTGCTTCCTGGTGAGCTCATAGATCTGTTTGCAGGCATACTGTGTTGCCCTTAAATAACGTGTTTGAGATTGTGGGAGATAAACTCATGGATGCTCCTTCCAAGGCATACTGTTAGTCGAGGTAAAGGAGGTCAATGCGATTTTAGGAGTACATGGTCAATTAAGTCAGAATCGTAAAAATATTAAGTCAGAATCGTAAAAAAATATTAAGAACAACATCAAATAGGTCAGAGGTACTGGACCAGTAAATAAGTAAGTCTGTAAAGACAATTGGTTAGTTTCTGAAGAGCCATGCCCCTTGATTTTATTTCTGTAGAATTCAGCAAAAAAACAGAAGACTTCATTTTAGAGCGCCAAACATACTCCTTCAATCTTGTTTTGTTTTTGTACTATATTTCCCTGAATGTTTTAAATGACAGACTTGTAAAGCGGAGTACCAAAGCACTTCCATAGTCTACCTTTTTTTTCTAGAATACACCATAGAAAGGTGTGTCATATTTCATAGAAGAGCAGGCAAGCGGCTAGCAGGGTAGCACAACACCTTTCAACTTATAACAACAATCTGAGATTAGCCACCACTCACGTCATGACAACAACGTCATGGAAACGTCTTGCACAGTTAAAGTATCAAGGCCGCTTCTTGACCGATGTCGGGTACCTCCATAGCACGGCATGTCTTCAGGGTAGTCCGGGTCAACGTACTTCCCACCCATAAGTGCCTACAAGAGTCGGTGAGTGGATGGAGGAGACATCTAATCCCGAGGGAGGCATCGTCTAGGAAGAACTGGCGACGGCAACATTTTGTGCCTTCGCAAATAAATTAATGGCCTGAGCAGCAGCCAACATCAGAACAATGCGCCACCACCACTAATCTACTGCCAGCCGCTCCAGCGCAAGCCAAGTGCCCCATCAGACAGGGAAGTCCTGTCTCCAAAATGATGCTTCTAACAAAGGAACAAAGTCGAGGATACCGCTATCACCGATCCGACTAGCTGGATCTTCCTTCATCACCGACACCGATGGAAGTCAGGCGGGACTTTGTACGGGGCGCCACACATGTAACCCACAGGCATCGTCGCTGACACACCCCACCCTTTGGCCCTGAGGTCAGCATATCGGGCAATGCAGGCCAGAGAACCATTGCTGTGCCACTCACTGCTGCAGCACCTCAGCCCTTTCCGCGCACCACTGCAGCACCTCGCCGTCGATGCTTCAGCCCAGCCATAGCTCTGTGCCGCGGCCACAACCGGCTCCTGAGCTACCTCATTCGCGTGCGCCATCCAAGGCTGCCACAGCACGATATCCGTAGTCATGCGTGTGGCTGAGTGAGGAGGCGAGCCCACCGCTGCCGTCCACCGGTGGGGAGAGAGGAGAGGGGCGCAACAACAGCTAGGGTTTTGCTCAAGCCGCCCCCTGAAAGTGACATGGGCGGCCACCCTAAACAGGTCTCCATGGTCTACTTTGAAGACCATGGCCAAGAGTAATATTTCTATAATTCTGAAAAAAAGTGAGTGCATGGAACATTAACTTTTTTAGTAAACCAATAACTGACATGGAAAAGAACTACCATGGGATTGCAAAGAGTATTATGTCGCTGCACTAGTCTGGTTCCTTTTGGCAAAAGTTCACTTATGTCAGATATCTCGATCAAAGTACGGGGGTCAGAATAAACAGAGTAATGAATGGGAAAAGGAGAAAGATCTTAGCTGGATAAGGGGCGGATGTAGCCAAGTGGATCAAGGCAGTGGTTAGAGAAATAGTTTGGACTTGGCAAGCAAGAGTCATGTCTGGAGACAAGTTAGGGGTTATTTGAAAGTATTTCAGAAACCGGGTTTGTCAAAGATTCACCAGTCAGACACAATCAACTCCTTGATCAACTTCGACAATCGACATCATCCGGGATGGTGTCCTAGCCGTGGTTCTAACCCCTTTTTCAAAACGAAAAGAAAATCCATCACGGTGTCTGTAATCCCCCCCTTGCTGCGTTTCTCAACCTAAGTCACTGAATTTGGGAAGACAATTTGTGGGAGGGGATGGTATATTAAATCATTGTGCATGGAGATAGCATGTCACTGCCACGCAGGCCTCCATGTGATGCCCTTCTTGCTCTGCCACTGCAATTGTCATGGATTTTAGGAGCAATGTTCTAAAATAGCTATATTCAGTTAAATCCTCATAACAGGTCACCTCCCCAGTTACAAGTATACAAAATTGATAGGTAAGGCTGTGTCTGGAGCTTACTTTGACTGTGTGGAGGCCCTTGCGAGTATCCATCCAGAGTCATATTTGCACTCGCCTAGTGCAGCGGAACTATTGCTGTAGGTACAGTTTGTCCCCAGGCCAGGCAGGATTCTCATTCTAAAGCATGCACATAGTGATATAATCTGTGAAATCAAGCAAGAAACTAGAAGGACTCTCTCTCCGTCTCTTGTGGCCATTGCTCCCCTCCATCTCTCCTCCTCCCCTACCGCACGACAATAACAGCTCACAATTTCCATATGCCTCTCCGAAAGCCTTCACGCTCCTAAAATGCTAATCTACTTTCTGAGACCACATCATTTAGATCAAATGATAAACAAGGAACATTTGATTTGAATCCAATAACACCGAGTTAACTTTAGAAGAAACAGAACTTACCAAGTTCCGAATTTAGTTCCAGTTATCTTCTTTCTGACGAGGTTCTACTCTCATCTAATGGTTAGTACATTGAGTGTAAATCATTCCTAGTTTATAGGCCTGTTCTTTGGTTTCTTTTGGAAATTAAGTTAGCATGTGAAGGTGCAAATCATTACTTATTTTATGAGCTTGTACTTCAGCTTGTTTTCATATTCATCTTTTGTAGAAATGCACACGTAGTTTGATTGGTTATTAGCTTATGTTCCAGAGTTGTTATTTATATACCCTTTCATAGTTCAACTGATTTGCATCCAAAGCAGCAAACTAGATCTATTCTAGCAAGTAAATATTGTTTTTTGAGTTTGGCAAGACTATTTGGCTGATCTCATTTCAGTAACTTTCAGGTGTAGGAAGTGTTAAGGGGATACATAATCAGTTTTGAGCTGTGAGGCCCTGCATTTGTGCTGCCTGCTGTTTGATTCACAGCTCACTCTTTTCCTCCTACTCATTCAAGCAAAGTACTGGAATTTGTAAGCTCAGTTTATTCAGGTAGCTGTGATTTTTCTGGCTTTTGGTTGATTAGAGTTTTGATATTTGTCAATTTTTCTTGAACAATTGTCAAATTTGGCAGTTTTCATATGAGCTGTGATTCAGAGCTGGAAGTTGATAGGACCTAGCACTAATAACGTGAATTTTGTTGCTTTTGCAGGTCATGGGAATTGTTTGTCCTTAGCAGGTGAGCTGGATTGGGTGGCTTGCGTTATTGCGTTGTATCTTCCCTATGCTTTTGACTGTTTTTTTAGTCTAATCTAATTCTTTCTGTGGAATGGTTGCATGATCTGAGTACTTGAAAGTTTAATCTGATTCAGAGTTGAAGATAAAGAGAGGAAGGCTAAACTCCGCTGACTCAGTTCATGTGTGCAATGAGCCAACTGCAATAGAGGTTTTCAGTAGGTGAGTGCAATGGTGATGTTCCTGGCATTGTTAGACCAAGCTATTCTTATAGCTGTGGAATTTTATAGTTTTCCTAATTAATCATGCCTGATTTTAGGATGAAATGAGGTTTGCTGCTCTCTCTAAATACCTGCATATTTTAAAATGTTGGAGAGGGCGTAATTTTATTTATTTAAGGGGTGAATATATATTTAATGTTGCACTATTTTGCAGATTAACACCAATTGGGTCAAAGAAAATAGGTGAGTGAACTCCTTAGATTATTTCTTTTGATTATGATCGAAGTTCATTTATGAGTAGACTGGTGAACTCAGATTATTTCTTTGGTCTGTGACGACTAACTTAGCTGCTCCTTTTGTGGCTGGGGTGTACAAATTTGAAATATTTATTGTGTTTGTGTGATAGAGAGGTTTAGGGGGAGGTATGAGATACTACTCGCGTCAAGTCCAGCGTTTGGCTGGAGACACAGAAGGAGGAGCACTGTTGTTTGTAGACGCCCTCAACTCCAAGTAACAAAGCGACCAGTTGTCAACACTTCCTTTTATTTTTGTATTTTCCCTGGAATTGGAGATGGAGATAAATTCTTCGGGTGAGGAAACGGTGATAAAGGTGAGTGTGCTCTTGGACCGACCAGTTAATTTGTGGTGAAAGAATCAACATTTTCTTCATGTTGTTTGTAGGTACGAAAGCCGTACACAATAACAAAGCAGCGGGAGCGGTGGACCGAGGCAGAGCACAAACGGTTCCTTGAAGCCCTCAAACTGTATGGCAGAGCTTGGCAGCGCATAGAAGGTGAAATCTTCATATATGTCATACCTTGAGTACTTGTACTCACTGATTTCTTCCAAGGAAATACTCACTGATTATTAGTGGTGTATATGTATATATCGACTACTTTGTTGTTGATAACTTTATGTGAACTCATTTCTTTTATTTTCTTATTCGCCTTCTGGTTTGTTGTACAGAGCATGTCGGGACAAAGACGGCCGTGCAAATCAGAAGCCATGCTCAGAAGTTCTTCACCAAGGTTACTTTTCTATCTTATTGGCTAGTACCCTTGTCTGGTTTACTGCTATACCCTTCGTTTTCGGGTTGTTTCATCTTTATTGTTGGTGATAAAATGGAAGACACACGCTTCATAATTTTTATGTCTTTATTTTACTGAAGTATTTTCTTTCTTTCTTTCGTTGTACAGTTGTGTACTGCAGTGCTGAGCATGATGAAAGATTCGTTTCCCTTGAATATCATGAGAACCATTCTTTATCTAATTGTTGCTCTGTTGATTGATTAAAAGATCAAATTAAAGCATGTTGAAATGGATGAAACAGCTAGGAAGTCTTTCCTGATTGTAACCAATGAGTAATGTTGCAGAGCAGATGATGTTGAACAACTCTGATTCTCTCATTGATTGATTTTACATATCCATGCTGTTATTGAGCATACATATGACTAAGAAAACATTATGGTACTAGTTAAATTTACATATGAGGGTCAATACAATACATAATGTGAAATAGGATATCTAAATGCACTTGAGTGAACTACACGAAATTCCTTGGGAATTGTATGGTAAATATGCTAACATTTGTCACATTTCATTATAGGTAAACACTTCATCGAACATGTTTCACTATCAACATTGTGTAAATGAGTCCATTTCATTTTCTAAATCATGATATTTGTTCCGCAAAAGTACACAATGGCATGAACAAAATTTATCTTGTTTCTCCCTTTTTCGTCCTTTCTCTCTTCTCTGCTTTCTGTTCTTTGCTGCATGTCCTATTTCTTTAGGGGCTGCATACAGCCACATGGTGGAGGCTACATTGTCATCATGTTGTAATATGCAACAGACTGTTGCCTTATTGGGATTGCAGCCTCATCCTCTCAGAGGTTTCCTTGCCAGACCCATGGGGGAGGGAGAAGGCTAAGGCTAGTTTTTTTTCTTCTCATTTTGACCGCGATGGTTTTCTGGGTCCTCTAATTTCATGCTTTGCTTACCAGCCATTACCATCTGACCCTGCTCGATATAGCAGGTTGGTTGTTGGGATGGACAGCTCTACCCTAAACTAACGGTTCAGTACACCAACTTAGCTCATATTTGCTCGCCAATAAATTCGTAGAAGTTCAGCGTGGAAACTGATAGCCTTCAATCTAACCAATAGTTTAAAGGCTTAGTGCATCGGTTGATTCTGAGGCTGGAGAGATGCCTCTTCTATAATCGAAGAAACAATTTTACAGTGCTATTTTTCTTACCTTTTATGTGGATAGAGACGAGCCAGTCAGGTGAAAAAGAAACCACTATCCACTCTTCAGTCCTCCACTCGCTTGAGGGTTTAGGCTGTAGAATTCTGTATTTGTCAGGGTTAGGATACCAGAACTGCACCAAATTCCCATTGCAGACGGTTCTGGTTTCTTCGGAACCCGACCAGTTAGTTTGGTTGCCCCAAAATGCCTTATTTTCTGGCACTCCGAATCTTCATTTTCATTTAGCAGATTTCAAATTGAAGATATAAATTAGAGGCAATTACGGATCAATTGTTAGAAAATTGGGTTTTAGAGTCTGGTTTAGGGTGAGGGTGGGCACCGGCTACATATCCACCGGCGCCCACCTGTTTGGCCAAAAAAGAAACATCACTAGTGTCAGTTACCAATTGCTTGTTGAATGATTTTGATAGTCTGAAAAGGGAAGACTTGCAATTGTGGAGTGCCCACTAAGGTTGATGGCCCTAAATTAGTTGTTAGCAGGACAATTCTTTCTAAAAATGCTATCATAATAGAGCCTGTTGACGTGTGGACCCTGAAGGGTTTTGATGACTTATGACCATTCCAAGCTTCAGATGCACTAGTATTTTGGTTCTACTTGTGTATTGTAGAAGTAATTGCGACAATGTAGCTGTAGCTAGTAGCTGGTCTGTAGGCTGAAGTCCAGCCTTCATTGTGTTGCCTGATTTTGTGAGTAGATTGACCAAATTGTAGAAGGATTTTAATAACCAGCAAATGTTCCCTGGGAGGCCATGGCAAAACGAACATTTGTTATGGCAATTTATGTTGTTGTGAGGATGGCAAATTTCCTTAGCAAGCATGGAAAATCCGCCCAGTTCAGTTTTTTTGCCAGGATTTGCCGTGCTTGCTTAAGGAATTTGCCATCCTCACGACAACATAAATTGACATAAAAAAACATTTGTTTTGCCATGCCCTCCCAGGGAACATCAGCACAATAACAGTTCCCTTTTAAAATTGTTACTTGTCACAGTTAACCACGTAGGTCTTGTTTGTTATCTACTTGTCTTCTTTTGGTATCCCGCCATTAGTCACTCCAGTCATATTAGCATCTAGCCAAATGCCATAATGCGCTTCTTGGTGTGAGCCCACTATCTCCTCGCGGCCACTCCTAATTGGTCAGTGATGATGGACGTCATGGTTGACCTTGTTCTGGCTGAACCTCGGCATGTTAATCTGAGACCATGAGGATAACATTCCTGTGGACATAAGGATGGCATTCTAATGCAGTGAAATTTGTAAGAGCTAATGATAGCAAAGCTGCCATTGCCAGACACTGAAACTTTGTACCAGTCTGCGTTTTTTATATCAACGAAAACTATTTAAAATATGTCCTGACTAGAATTTGCCATGCCTTTCAGTTACATTCTGATTCTTGTTGGTAAAATTGTTTAAATTAAATAATGTTAGTATCTCAAGAGCAAGCTGATGATTCTGATAAAAAAAATCAAGATGTTAGCAAGAAAAAATAACTGAAAGATGATTAGTTGGGTGACACTAGGTCCTTATAACTAACGAGATCGCCAGTAAGGAACATGTGCACATTGTTTTCTGTAGTATTGATCTCAGATCTGTTGCACCATGCATCATGACATGTTTTCTATGGTTTCAACCTCCATAGCGGACCATCTTATATGATTATAACCCTGATGATTCTTCACAACATACAGATAAGCTTATGTGAGCATCAATGAATTTGTAACTTGGCTAATTAGCATAAAATTTCTCATGTCTTATACTTTCTGAGTTTGCCTCTTTCGCACATTGTTCTTTCACAAGACAGTGCCTCCTCATATTATTCTAAAGGAACTCATCTGTAAAGAAACTTGCCATTGTGATGATCCTTTCCCTGCGAAATCTCATGCATTTTACAACCGATTCCTGATTGGTTTGAGTTTGTGAAATGGGGCAAAATCTGATCAGTACAAAGGTTATAGCTTTTTGGACACTAGGAAACCTAGTAACCGTAACAGTTGTATGCAATAATAGACAGTTCAATTTCCCAATTCTAGTTTATCACCACTATCTGTCTGTATCTAACTAATTGGGAAATTGCAGTTGGAAAAGGAAGCTATCAATAATGGTACTTCTCCGGGACAAGCTCATGATATAGACATACCTCCACCACGGCCTAAAAGAAAACCTAACTGTCCATATCCTCGAAAAGGTTGTCTCAGTTCTGAAACACCCACCAGAGAAGTTCCAAAATCAAGTGTAAGCTTGAGCAATAGCAATGCAGAAATGGCGAGCAATGGAACTCTTCAGGTAAATACCATTGCGGTATTTATATGCTTTGGTTTTAGTTCTGTCTATGATATCCTTGATGTATGTATTGATATACTTGTTTTTCTTTAACATGAAGCTCACCTGCATTCGGAAACTTCAAAGGAAGGAGTTGTCTGAAAACGGCAGTTGCTCAGAAGTTATTAATATCTTTCGAGAAGCACCATCTGCCTCATTTTCTTCCTCTAATAAGAGCTCTTCAAATCATGGTGTCTCTGGGGGAATTGAACCGACTAAAACAGAAAACAAAGATATTGCAACCATGGAAAGGAAATCTACTTCCATTGATGTGGGGAAGGATGTAAAAGATATTAATGACCAGGAAATGGAGAGGAACAACAGAGTCCACATCAGTTCTAATTATGACGGTTCTCATGAAGATTGTTTGGATAACTCAATGAAACACATGCAATTGAAGCCAAATACTGTGGAGACAACATACACGGGTCAACATGCTGCAAGTGCCCCACTCTACCAAATGAATAAGACTGGGGCAACTGGCGCTCCAGACCCTGGAACTGAAGGAAGTCATCCTGATCAAACAAGTGATCGAGTGGGAGGAGCTAATGGAAGCATGGACTGCATCCATCCAACACTTCCGGTGGATCCAAAAATTGGCAGCAGCTCCACAGCACAGTCCTTTCCCCACAACTATGCAGGCTTTGCACCAACGATGCAATGCCATTGCAACCAAGATGCCTACAGGTCTTCTCTTAATATGTCATCCACCTTCTCCAACATGCTCGTTTCCACGTTGTTATCAAACCCCACAGTACATGCAGCCGCAAGGCTTGCAGCATCATACTGGCCAGCAGCAGACAGCAACATTCCTGTTGGTCCAAATCAAGAAGTTTTTGCTGAGAATGCTCAAGGAAGACATATTGGTTCTCCTCCAAGCATGGCTTCTGTGGTAGCAGCTACAGTTGCTGCGGCTTCGGCATGGTGGGCAACACAAGGTCTTCTCCCTCTTTTTGCTCCCCCCATGGCTTTTCCATTTGTCCCAGTTCCTACTGCTTCCTTTCCCACAACGGATGTTCAGCGAGCTACAGAGAACTGCCCAGTGGACAACGCACCGAAGGAATGCCAAGTAGCTCAGGAGCAAGGTCAACCTGAAGCTATGATAGTTGTAGCGTCTTCTGGATCCGACAAGAGTGGAAAAGGAGAGGTGTCTCCCCACACCGAGTTAAATATATCTCCAGCTGATAAAGTTGAGACAACACCTCCCACAGGAGCTGAAACAAGTGATGCTTTCGGCAACAAGAAGAAGCAGGATCGCTCTTCATGTGGTTCCAACACGCCATCAAGTAGTGATGTAGAGGCAGAACAAGTTCCTGAGAACCAAGATCAAGCCAACGACAAGACACAGCAAGCATGTTGCAGTAATTCTTCAGCTGGTGACATGAACCACCGCAGGTTTAGGAACATTTCAAGCACAAATGATTCATGGAAGGAAGTTTCCGAAGAGGTTGTAGTCTACCAGCATTGCCGAACTTCGTTTCTATGTTACTCTTGAGCATCTATCACTGCTTTTCTAATTCACATTTCTGCTGTCAGGGTCGTATGGCTTTCGATAAACTGTTCAGTAGAGGAAAGCTTCCCCAAAGCTTTTCTCCTCCACAAGCAGAAGGATTGAAGGTGGTACCCAGGGGGGAACAAGACGAAGCTACTACGGTGACGGTCGACCTCAACAAGAGTGCTGCAGTTATGGACCATGAACTTGATACATTGGTTGGGCCAAGAGCTACCTTTCCCATTGAATTGTCACACCTGAATATGAAATCCCGCCGGACAGGCTTCAAACCTTACAAGAGGTGCTCGGTGGAAGCAAAGGAGAATAGGGTGCCGGCTGCTGACGAGGTTGGTACCAAGAGGATTCGCCTTGACAGCGAACCCTCCACGTGATTTACTTGCCACGACATGATTACCAGCCTTCCCGAGTAGTGTATTTTCAAGAAATTGCAGTATTTACATCTAAGCTACTACTATAGGACTTCTCAGTCCTTGCAATGCAGTGTTTCACAGAACTCAATTTGTTATGTGTTGTATGTTAATGCTTGCCGAGCAGCCCTTCTAGACTGTCAATTAAGCATTAAGCACCTATGCATGCTACTTTATTGGTAAAAGGCATTATGCTTATTTTTGTGTGGTGAAGGATAATACTTGTAATTTTGGTTCATTTTGCTGGATCATGTAGATTCAATTCCCGAAGGGAGAGCATGATCACCTTGCTTTATGTATATACACGAGATTTGAAGATTCTTGGATGGCCTGTTTTCTTAAACAACGTATTTTTAAAAAAATTAAACATATGGTTGTATCTTTAATATTGGAAGGTAATTGGATCTGCGCATGGGCTCAGAAACGAATTTTCGAATTTAGACTATCCATTTCATTAGCTGCTTTCACACATTACAGCCGTGGGGCTTAAAAGCCGCACACACAGGCGCACAGCTGCCTGACATATCGGCCCTACACACACCACAACCCCACATGTCCGTTAGGCTCTGAATCCTGACGCACAATCCCTCCGTCAGGGTTGCCCGCCATGACATTAAAGAACAAGACATTGCTTAGTAGTAGCATCACACGTTCATATTTATACAACCATTGTTTCCGAGAAGATTCATAACGGGGGCACTTTTTCGCCCGATGAGAAACACACAATTTTGCCTAGTGCCGTTTTCAGCAGCATTAGTCAGCAAACAAAAAGGTAACCAGAATCCCTGGCTTCCTGCAATCCTACTTCCTCATATACAGGTGCCACCATCCATCGGCAGATTCGCTCAACTCCAGCCGATTTCTTCAGTTAGCACATGCTCCCAGTCTGACGATCCATACTTTGAATTGCTACGCAAAATGCCATCTTGTCCGGTGATGTATGAGCGGGCAGCCACTCCATCCAAAGTGTCTCCATTCAACCCTTGACAAGCTCCATATGGCAGAGGCGCATGGAGATGCGTGGCAGTTTCTTCCAAGCCTGTGAGGACATGGCCATGCTGCAAATTCTTCGGCAGAGCAGCGTACCCTTTGGTGCTTGAAGAACAGCTAAGTGCGGCGTCGCCTCCTGACCGGGTGCAGTCACCAGCATAAGGAGGATATTGACCGTTTCTTGCTCCTGATGTCTCTCCAGTAGGGTGAGCTAAGGCAACTCCATATAGATTACTTGGATCGGTACTCAAATCAGAGACTTGGGAATAATTCTTTCTTGGCCCAGGCCCACCAATAGGAGCCATGCTGGACTCTAGGTCTATTTTTATACAAGTGTGTTTCAGCTGGTACTTCAATTCACAATTTGCACGCTCCGCTTCAATCCACAGATTCTTATACACAAGAACCTGTGGATGCTCTTCCTCACAGGACATCTTCTTTTGGACATTGTTGAGTGCAGGCTGGTCAATCATAAATTGCTTGTCAATAAAGTGAAACAGAAACAATTGGTTAAACTAATTTTCTATGTGAGTGGCATCCAATACTGCTAGACTTATCACAAGGTACATATAAGTCCTACGATTTTCCTGAAACTTTTTGCAAGGAGAAAAATTCTTTTGCACATATTTTCTAAAAATTGCCAGACCTTTTAACACAGTTTAACAACTCAGCAAATGAAAGAAACAACAAAGTAATTTATCATGAGTAGAAGAGGTTACCTGGCCCCGTGTCAAACTGTTTCTTCCAAACTCATTGTGCATATGACTAGAACCAGCAAAATGATTAATAATTATGTCCTTTTCACCATCTGCAATGTAACTACGATTATATTTTCCTGGGTCATATTTTAAAACTGCAGTCTGCGAATGTGGAGCCTTTGGCCCTGCCTTGTCAGAAGCACCCTTAATAGGATCCTAGTAACAACAGATACACAATTATCATTGGGTCACTGCAAATATCATATTACTGTAGTAAGTCTGAATGGTTTTTGTTTTTTTATCGACAAGAAGGAAAATGTTAACAATTAAATAGAATTAACAAAAACCAGAGACCATATATCTGCTTATCCTACATATGACTCAAAATGATAGTTTCTACAGTTATTCCGCCTGAGAACAAATCAGGCAATAACATCGGGCGTAAGTGGAAGCAATCAAACTTCGAAGTAAGCAATAAGGAAATAAGAAAAAAAAAATGAAGGTTAGCCTGGTACACCTGCTCTCTCATGTCAAAATAGTTTTGAACAAGGCAAGACGTAAGTAAAACTGCGAGCTGCAGGTTGCGGGTATGCTCAACTGAAAGTATTTCGAATTGAACACAATGTCTATGCTAAATAAGAAGTTGAAAACAAAAACAACAATAAAACAACGCACCTTTCTTATTTTATGAAGGCAAGTCTGAAGTCTATCAATCACTGATTCAAGGAGGATGCAGTCATCTTCATCTAGCTCAATTTCATCACCAGAATAACTACTCTGGAATACCACAGTTAGGTTCTCGATCGCCTTGAGAACTCCCGATATATTCTTTCCTGTTGAAGAACAGGGTCCTGTAATGTATCAAATAGATAGCATATTGTGCATTTGAAGGAAATGCTTATTCAAAACATCAAGCATCAGGTACTATCGAAAATAACTTCAACAGATATAGATAAACCTTTCCCAATTTTTGATTTCCCAATCGATGAAGGTACAAAATCCGGAGCAGCATAATTCAGACCAGATCGCTTCACATAATTGTCTCTCAGTTTCGAAAGGTGTTTCTGCTCCAGTTCACATTTTGCTGCATACTGGTTTGCACATTCAAGCTCCTTCCCACATGAATTTTTTGTCTCCTTTATACTTGTGACCCCAGATTTCTTTGACACACCGGCTTCAGCCTGGGATTTGCAGTGGTCGTGGTTAGTCTTGGTGACCGAACTCTGGAGCTCGGACGGAGTTTCATGATGTTGAACAGTGCTAGAGCTTTGTTTCTGTCGTACAGCAAAAGCTTCCAAATCTTGATTAGTTGACTGGGTAGCAGGTGTCTGGAAAACATCAAATGGAGACAGACGAGAAGCTGAAGCACCTCTATAGCACGGTGAATCAACAGAGCATTCTGATGGATCTGGCATCACATCCTCGGCCAAAACACCACATGGATCAGCAGAAGTAGTTGGAATATGAAGAGGGCTTGCACTGAAGACAGGATTTGCCTCTTTGGAGGAGAACATGGTACCTTGTGAATTGTCCTTGCCATCGACAGGACCACTGAATTGTAAATTGCGGGATGATGTTTCTTTTTCACTGTCTTTATTAGACTTAGGATTTTCTGCTATAACCAACTTGCTTCCAGAACCACAACTGTTTTTGTTAGATTCTGATGTTTTATTTGGTGGCCTTTCTATCCTCACTGTTGAACATTTGCTCCCATTTCCTGAGGTCAAGGAATTTTGCAGCTTGTAATTGGATGTTATCCCGACATATGGTGAGGAGGGATACGCATCCAGGCAAACTGCTGACCATGAACTTGGCTGCCCAGTGTGCATGGCATGTGTAGAGGGTGGATAAACGGCACCACTTGATTTCATCAAGGCACATGCAATTGGTGACGCTGAGTGAGTATCTCTTGATGTCTTCTCTTCAGCATAACCCACAGAGCTAGCACCCGCCGACCTAGAAACATCACCTATGCATTGGCAATACACAATCAATGGCTTTGCTATGTAAACAGATGACTGGCACGTTATGCAGTTGAACAAGAACACAAATATAGCATCTACAGTATATTGTTGCCCCGATTGGGGATAATCATGGATATAAAGTTATAAATTAGTGGTGACTGAGAGGGTGGAATGATGTATGCCGGATACTACTAATCAGCTAGGATCAACTGATTCTCCGCCTACTACCCCAGACCGCAAACCTAGCTAACGCCCAAGAACCGGACAAAGGTCAAATATTTTGCCAAGCTGGTCAGAACAACTAGATTAATCCAGCGGCGTAACGCAATCACAAGGGCCGATAAGGCGCGAACCAGCCAAGAACCGGAATATCAGAGCAAGGCAGAGAATAACAAGAAAAAGGTGGGGATTGGAGGAAGGGAAAGGAAAAGGTTACCATTCGGGCGGTACTGGAAAGGGGCGCAAGCCGGTCGGGAGGGGGGGTTGAAGGGAGCGGCGTGCGGGGAGAGAGCATATGACGAGACGGAGTTAATGGCGGCGGCGGCGGCGGCGGCGGCGGTCGAGGTCATCGCCGGCGTCTCGCGTAGAAACCACCGGTGGTAGAGTGAGTGGTCGAGCCGTAAATAATTGAGGAAACGGAGAAGTACGGTGACTTTTTCGCCTCTACCCTTTCCGAAGCGGAGAAGCATGTGACATCTGGACGCGAAAAATGTAATTTGTAAACGTCATTTCACCACCATATGACATTTTTTTGTGTGAAACATTGACAAATGTTTCGGTAATTTGTAAAATTTCACCATCATATGACATTGTGGAATATGTGGCAAAAGAAAATTGATGCTTGAAGATGTTATTTTCAAACACATTTTGGAGTATCGAATTTTTTTTACCACATCTTCCACGAACGTCATTTCATGATGAAATTCTACAAACTATCAAAACATTTCTCAATGTTTCAAAATATATATATTATGGTTATAATGTTAATGAATGTTAATCTAAAATTAATCACATGTGTAGATTTATTATATGTTTAGTCATCTAGAATTGCAGACTTAAGGATTAACATACTGATTCAAAACACCATACGAAGGACCACATGAGTACCTAATGTACCCGCCTCCCTGGGCTGCTTGAGGGTGAGAGTGCCTCATGGCCGTCCATTTGCGGCTGGCTTGCCGCGGGAGCCTCTCGAGGCGGCTTCGTGCCGTCCGATCTGCCCGGCTGGAGGGTCCATGACGGGTGGACCGCCTAGCCGCCCGGGGCCATTATTATTAGGCGGTGTCCATCGCGCCCCCTCCCATGCGCGACCACCTCGACTCACCTGCCTGGCCGGACGATGATGGGTGGACCATTCAGCATGCCCGGGGTCACAGTCATTGGGCTACTTCGTCCACGCCCTTGAGCGGCCTTTCTCTACCAGCGACCCGGCTGAGTGGTCCATGACGAGTGGACAACCCAGCACGCTCGGGACCATTGTCATTGGGCATCTTTCGTCACCCCGTACCCACGAAAGCGCGATGGCCTAGCTAGGCCCGCCTAGCGGCGTCCTCATCCCGCACCAGGCTGGTCGGATCACGACAGGCACGCGAGCCGGGTCCCGGTCGCAGCGTCGGCTCGCGCGTGGGGCTCGGTTTGGGCTTGGGTTCATCGGTGGGAACATGGGGCCAACATGTGGGGGAAGCCCCCGTGAGCCGGCCGCCTTGCTGGTGCCAATTTTGTTCAGTTAGGGTTGGGCCGGCGCGTGATACGTGTCCAACGTATCTATAATTTATAAAGTATTCAAGTTATATTAACATCAATTATATATGGTTTTGGTGCATTTTTATATTATTTTTATGGACTAACTTATTAATTAAGTGCTTAGTGTCTATTCATGTTTTTGGTTTCGTAGAAAATCCATATCTAAGAAGGTCCAAACACGATGCCAGTTTTTGATGATTTTTTCTAGACCAAGAAGGACCCTAGAAGCTTCGGAAGATGTTGAGAGGAGTCACGAGGTCCCAACAAGCCCAGGTGGCATGGCCAGGGGGTTGGCAGTGCCACCTAGGCTTGTGGGGCCCTACACCCTTTTGACGTGATTCTAGCGCTACATTTTCCTATAAATACCGAAACCCTCCGTTGTACCATCAGAATAATTTTTCCGCTGCCACAAGTTCCTGTTTCGCGAAGATCCCGTCTAGAGCCCTTTTTTGGCACTTTGTCGGAAGGGGGAACTATTGGAGGAGGCATCTTCATCAACCTTGTTGTTCTCATGGTGATGTGTGAGTAGTTCATCCTCAGGGCTAAGGGTATGTACTAGTAGCTATGTGTTCAATCTCTCTCTCCCTCTCTCATGTTCTTGATGGGCCCGATCTTGATGTATCATGAGCTTGATTAATAAAGTTGGATCTTATGATGTTTAACCCCATATATCCTTTTTGTGGTGAACTGAGTATTGCTCTTTGAAGTCTCTCTATGTTGGACTGAATACTTTGGATTTGAGATCACTTGATGCATGTCTAGTAATTAACTTGTGGATACCCGAGGTGACATTGGGGTAATCTTAGCATAAAGGTTGAATGATAGTATCATATGGTGTTGTCATAGTGCGATCTCTGGGACTATTGGTGGTGCATTGGGGTGGTTCAACAGATTGATTGGAAGGACAACTTTGAGGTAGTTTGCTTCCTACACGATTTCATCCTACTTTCTCCCATAGAATAGGAACTTTGGAGTGATTCTTTGCTACACTTCGAGGGATTATCATGATATTCAATTATGTTAATGATGTTGAGAGTTGGAACTACTGAAAGTATGAACGCTAGGCCTTGTTTCCAAGCATTGTGATATCGTTTTTTACTTACTTTTGAATCTAGGGTAGAACCCTAATCAGTGAGATTTGTTCTGATGTTCACGAATTGGAGGTGGATTCAAGGAGAAACACGACGAACACGAGGGGAAATCATGGAGAAATCAAAGGGGAAAACACTCTATTGGACAGGATTCACTCCAAGTACTCCTCAAATCAGAAGCAATACAAGAGATGCATCAAGATCCAAGAACAACAAAGGAAATAAAGATGCAACATAGTTCATCCAAATCTCATGGAGAGATGGGTCTTGAATCCATGGGTGGATCTTCCCTAAAAGGGGTCTTGAATCCCCAAGGATCTTCTCCAATGGAGGTCTTGAACTCCATTGGAGTGTCCCTCTCTCAAGAGGAATCCCACAAGGGGAGATACATGAGCTAAGTTCTAATGTCTAGATCTACTCTTAGCTATCCTAGAAATGAGGTGGGGAAAGAGTATATATAGTCCTAGCCACGAAGGGGTAAGTGAGGGTCGGAATGGGAAAGATACAAGGCCACTTGGCCAACTCTGCGCACAGGCAGACCGGTTGTACCGTTCGGTGCTAGGATCGGTTGTACCGGTGGTACTGTAACTACCGGGGTGGTACCGGTCTTGTACCACTTGATTATAGTATGCGGAGCGGTAGTTGAGCGGTAGTAGACCAGTAGTTAGCCGGTAGTAGACCAGTTGTACCGGTATTTCTGGGCTGGCACAATCCTCTTCTTCCTTTCTCTTCCATGATTCCCTCGCGGGTGGTGTAGTTGTACTCTTTTACTTGGACTCCTCCTCATCATTCGTGAAGCTCCGACAATACCTATGTATGCACACGAGAGGAGTGTCAGGTAGTATACCATTGATACGTTTCCAACGTATCTATAATTTTTTATTGATCCAAGCTATTATATTATCTGTTTTGGATTCTTTATATGCATTAATATGCTATTTTATATTATTTTTGGGACTAACTTATTAACCCAGAGCCCAGTGCCAGTTTCTGTTTTTTCCTTGTTTTTGAGTTCTACAGAAAAGGAATAACAAACGAAGTTCAAACGAAATAAAACTTTCGTGATGATTTTTCTTGGAACAGAAGACACATGTAGGACTTGGAGATGAAGTCAGAGGAGTCCTGAGGCGGCCACAAGCCTCAGGGGTGCGCCCTATGGGGGCGTGCCCTGAGGTCTTGTGGGCCCCTCGAAGCTCCTCCAACCCTAATTCTTGGCCTATAAATTCCCAAATATTCCCAAACGATCAGAAACGTCCACCAAAAAACTTTTCCGCCACCGTAACCTTCTGTACCGTGAGATCCCATCCTGGGGCCTTTTTCGGCACCCTGCTGGAGAGGGATTCGATCACAAGGGGCTTCTACATCAACTCTATTGCCCTTTCAATGAAGCGTGAGTAGTTTACCACAGACCTACAGGTCCATAGCTAGTAGCTAGATGGCTTCTTCTCTCTCTCTCTCTCTCTCTCTCTCTCTCTCTCTCTCTTTGATCTTCAATACCATGTTCTCCTCGATGTTCTTGGAGATCTATCCGATGTAATATTCTTTTGCGGTGTGTTTGTCGAGATGCGATGAATTGTGGATTTATGATCAGTTTTATCTATGAATATTATTTGAATCTTCTCTGAATTCTTATATGCATGACTTGATATCTTTGTATTTCTCTTCGAATTATCGGTTTGGTTTGGCCAACTAGATTGGTTCTTCTTGTAATGGGAGAGGTTCTTAGTTTTGAGTTCAATCTTGCGGTGATCTCACCTAGTGACAAAGTAGGGGTAGTGAGGGACGTATTGTATTGTTGCCATCAAGGGTAAAAGATGGGGGTTTTATCATATTGCTTGAGTTTATCCCTCTACGTCATGCCATCTTACTTAAGGCGTTAATCCGTTCTTATGAACTTAATACTCTAGATGCATGCTGGATAGCGGTCGATATGTGGAGTACACTAGTGCGGAACCAGGCTATAGCACCGGTTCGTAAGGGCCTTTAGTGCCGGTTCTGCAAATCTTCTTTCCTTTTAGAATTTTAGGATTCTAAAATTTGCAAACAGGCCTACGGCGGTCAAAATCGGATGCGGATTTTCGTGATGAACATTTTGATATATTATACGTTTTTTTCGACATCGTATGCAAAAGATATGGTCGTTTTAGTTTTTCATCACACTTTTTTTGCAAAACATGTCCAAATTTAAGTTCTTAAATTTTCCTAACTAGTATATGTAGTAACATAACTACATCTCGAAGTTTTATCATTTTCTTTTGTTTCTTTCAAGACTGAAATGGCGATACACG